TCCCTCCCATCTCCCTTTTCCTATTTTATTTTTGTCAAGCACCTTGGTTTTTTAGTGTGGTTTATAAATAAAGTTTATTATTATTATTATTATTATTATTATTATTCCCATGTTATTACGGTGTATCCATATAAATGGCCCACCCTGTATATTATTAGTAACTGTATTAGTCTATGTTGCTGTGTTCGCTTGTCCCTGATTTCTTGTTCAGTAATTTTCTTCAGGTCTTTGTTAGTGTCCTTTAGCTATTGCCTGTTTTATCTTGAAGGTTTGTTTTCTTTTGTGTTTAATTTTAGTTTTACTTCCTGTCTTCTCCCTCCTTTGTGATTCTGTGCTTCTCCCTAATTGCTTTCCCCGGTTGTTTTTCTGCCCTCACTTGGGTCTCTTTCTCTAATTAGTGCTCTGTATATACATCCTCCAGTGTCTCCCACATCTAGTTTATCTGTTAGGTTCCTCTAGCTGACCTATGTCACTGTGCATCTTGTGTTTTTACCTTTTGGACTTTGTTAATGCGCAAATCTCATCATCAGCCTTGATTAAACAGATTGCTCTTGTTTGTTACTCCTTTGTGTCCTGCATCTGGGGCCTCTCCTAATCACTATCTCTGGCAGATAATAGAGAAGTTGGTGGAAAAATAAATGTCAACTTAAAGGTATTTCAAGCAAATTAGTTCATTAGTTGATCAGTTTAACCAGACAAATATTTAGATTTCTTAATTTATTTAATAAGGTTAATAACATTTTGATTCTCAAATGGTCACACAAGTAATAAAATACACAAATCTCAATCATATAAATGTAACAGCAACTGCAATACATTATTATCATATGATTTGTCTGTTAAGTATCTTTGACAGCCCCTAGAGTAGCGTACTGCAAAAACATTAAATATGAGAGTGCATGAAAGGAGAAGCAAAGGCAGAAAGGGACATCCAGTTATTTTAGCTTCATGGAGTCAGTTATGAGTGACAAACTTTGGAAAGTTTTAAACTTAGAGTAAGCAGGTCATGGCTGTGGTCCCCTCATTTTTTTAAGGAGGTGGACTGAACTTCTGCAGAGTGGAATTCGCTATGATGCACCGACTGGAGTAGGCAGATATAATCAATAGAATTACATGAAATGGCAGCCTGAATCACACCACACACAACCACTGTACTGAAAACCCTAAAGGTTTGTCTATTTAAAGCTCAACTGCCCTGACACAGAAAAAGTTGTATTGCTTTATTTACTGTACGCGCATGATTCATGCAAACTGAAGCATATGCTGCAGAGGCACGACAGGCACTAAGATAATTTTAACGTTCTATTCCACCGTGTAGTTCAGAGGCGCCTCAGTTAATGAGACTCAGTCTGTCTGGTTCTGAGTCTGACTTTCAATCCACCACCCACTGAGTTCACATATTAAAATTATACCACTGGGGAAGAGTTCAGTCAGTGGAAAACAATGTGTCATTTTCATCCATATCAAATGATATGGATACAAGAAGAAAATGTTATCTTTGGGGATATCCGTTGTCATTAGGTAATTTAAGGGCGAAGTGATGTATCATTTGCCTCATCGGGACCTCCTGACGCATACTAATACCAAAACAGTTACACTTCATTTCACAAATTCTCTCTGCTCCCAGCAATACCTCAGTCAGAATTCAGTTTACGAGTTAAAAGTGCAAACATAGTTGTGAATATCAATGTGAGAAAATGTCACTTGTGGTATCACAGGAAATTTGTTAAGTTACTTTCAAGTTTGTTTTCCACCCTTGACCGGTCCTTGTACTGATCATTATCAAATCTCTGTGCTGATGTCTTCTCAGAAGTCTGCATTATAATTACTTTAAGCGGCCTTTATTAGAGATAATGGACCTTCAGAGTTCGATCACATTTAATTACAACTGACAAATTAGGCTCTAACTATATCTACACTCTACCTGGGAAAAAGAATATCAAATACAAGAACGACTGCTTCCATGCGTTGTGCATTTCATTGAATTAAACGAGGATTCGGGGAAATAGATAAGAGTTAGTCAGGAGAGGGGACACAAAAGCAGAGGTGTGGATATGAGGCCTAAAAAATTGTGCAGCAACATCAAAGCACTGGTGATGGACAAAAGCATCTGAACCGTACAGATTTGGTATTCTCATTAAAATCTGCCAAAAGTTTTAAGTCTCCCCACTTTTCTTCAAACCTTAATGTGTATTTGGATGTGTATGTGTATTTGCATTGATAACTAATATATGCAGTATATATGGACACAAACTGGACATGTTATGACACAGAGCTGACTTTAGAATGTGTCATATGAATGATGATGGTGGTCTAACTTCTAACGAATACATATACATCTTTTATGGGGCTAACAGGATTGAACTGTGCATTTGGAAACCACAGCAGCTGCAAGGTTTCACATCACACTGGTTTAAGTTGAATTATGGTTTAGTCCCTGGTTTTTCTTATGTCACAAATCAAGATTGCATTTACAAGTCACAAACAAAATTCCCACTCTCAGCAGATTCATCTGAAACAACCTTCTGCTATTTGATCCTGAACATACTTCAATCTGCACAACAAAGGTGAACAAAAAGACGTCACTTTGATTTTTGAGTGAAGGAGACTCTGATGTTTATGGCAACAACAGGCAAGAAACATCTCAGTCTTGTATATTCCCGTCTGTGCATCTATTCTTGAGCAGATTGCATTACTAAAAAACGATTTAAATGCAACTTGATACATGATAAAATTTCGTTTACTTTTGGTTCATTCTACTTAATTGTATCGTATAATCCAGTTTTGTATAATTTTCCTGATACTGTGTCCATCTCATGTAACATTTTGTGCATATTACCAGTGCAGCTCTCTCTTTATGCAAGTAAAGGCGATTTAGATGTGTTCTGACTTGGAAGCCTATTTACCATTTCCAGAGAGAGGGCGTTTGTTTGCATGGCACTAGGGAGAGCCCTAGTGGTAAAATACTGAACTACAGATTTAATGCATTATTTTTGTACACACACACACACACACACACATACAAAAGGCAACAGTGCCTGGCGCTCATGCTGGTACACAAAACATGACGATAATAAAATATGACATACATAAGTATTTTTGTCAATAAGGTCATATGAACAGAAGCACTGTATTATAGTGAATTAACACAAGTCATTTGACCTTGAAACAAGAATATGCTAGCTCTTTAGTTATGTTAAATTTATGTTAAAGTTCAGAGAAATTTCTGTAAAAGTCTGTATTTGTTTTTTAAATATTTCATCTCAGATTCTTCTGTTCTGTTTTGGGACCCGCACCTGAAAGCATCTCTGTGGTAGAATGTATATTAGGCTACATTGCCAGAAGTGCTTGTTAATATTTCTGATTTTAGAAAAGCAAAATGACTTTAACTCCATTCCCTACAGCTGCTGTAAATATAGCCAACAAAGACATACACCTGAGTCTCTAGGTAATTTTACCTCATTTTTTCAACAAGAAAGGGATGGTTATAGGCAGGGCTGCACACAAGTGGTCCGCAGGAGCGCATTCGGGGTCAAAATAAAAGACGCGCACCAGATAAGAAGTTGGAACGCGCGTTTCCGTACAGTATGATTATGACTGTTATTAGTACTGAAGGAAAATAAAGCTACATTCAATCCGCCCTGCCAGTGATATGATTCACTGCAGCTCAACTGTCAAAAATGGTATGTGTGCAAAGTCAAACACTGTATGTGAGTAGAGTAAATTTGAGTATGCTCACCTGTCAACATGACAGAATAGTTTTTGCTGCACTGGTACCTGTCACAGCTGTAGCACTTTCAGTGGCATCAGAATGGCACTTTGGGTCTTAGCTCATATAATCTCTAGCTACTCTGATGGGTGTTGAGCTTGCTGCAAACTTCTGCAGTAGTGTCAGAAATGACACTTTTATTCATGGACCTGAACTGGCAGGTAACACAAACAAGAATATGCTTGCTCCACAGTTTGCTGATGTGTTACAGAACCGAGTCAGGTCAAAGAAGTCTTTGACAAGAGACAGCTTTCTATATTATAAGACACATTACTTTTTAAATATTTGCTTGAGTTTATGCAAGTTAAGGCCTGTTGAAGCTTTCAATTGTTGCAGGTGAATTCACCTATAGTAATATGCCAAGTGTGCCCCAGAACCCTGCTCATATACTATGTATCTCTACTAAAGTCATGCTGCCATACAACAGGGGTGTCCAACTCCAGGCCTCAAGGGCCGGTGTCCTGCAGGTTTTAGATCTCACCCTGGGTCAACACACTTGAATCAAACGATTAGTTCATTACCAGGCCTCTGGAGAACTTCAAGACATGCTGATGAGGTCATTTAGCCATTTAAATCAGCTGTGTTAGCTTATGGAGCTTATTTCTTCTACGGTATTCAAAAATAAGCAACTTACTTACAGGAGAGATATATTTCCTGGCAATATGGCAATCATGGATGTGGCTGTCATGCTATTTGAGCCCAAAAACTTTTAAAATGAAAGAAAGCTTCAATTTTGTAATCAGTTGCGTAGTGCTGCCTCTGGTGGCTGCACAAGCAAAAGCTGTTGGCTCACAACCATGCAGTCTATGAAAACAAGTTACTTTACACATTTATAACCATCTGTTGTTTTTCTGAATTACCATCAACCACGTCTGTGTCTCCATGTTAGCATGTCTTACGGAACATGTAGTAAATTAGGATACCAAGATAACAACTACACACATGGTTACACAATAAGTTGCTCTGACCTCTTCGATAATGCTCGACAGGTAAACTGATTTTCGGGGTAAAAAACGATGGAGGGACTGATTTGCTCTCCAAATAAAACCTTTTATTCCATTTTAATCATCTGGGCTAAAACTTCTGTCGCTCTCAATCATTCTCTTCATCTCTCTGTCAGAGTAATATGAGAGGATCATTGAATCTAACAAGGTCAAACAGATGAAGAGAAATAAGAAACCAGCCTGGAAGAAAAAAAAACACTGATTTTTTTTTAATAGATTTAGTTCACTTTGCATTTAATTTTAGAGAATAAATACTCATCTTTTTTCAAATCAAATAATATCCTAAAACCCCTTTGTTTCATATCACTAAGTTTTCTCAGATATCCAGCATGAGAATGTGGAAAGGTCTTCACTTCTGGTACTCACAAAAATGGTTTCACTGTATTACCTACAGCTTTTAAGACACAAGTGCTTGTCTGAATAATCAGTAAAATTAATAAAAACAAGCAGACAGTTTGTGTTGAGTTTCGGACAGACAAGATTTCTTCATTACTACATACACATCAACAGGGATGAGTATAAAATAACAGTTACTGGAAAAGAAGGAGACTTTTTAAGTAATCATGAGGCAAAAAGGCTAAATTCATCCAGGATTGCTGAAAAAGCAATACTGCTCTATAAAAGGAAACAATGATTTGAAGGCATCTTCACTCTTTATGTCACCACTCACTGTTTACCCACAACAGCATTGATCAGAACATAATCAGCAAAGCATTCCACGTGAATATCAATAAAAGTAGGCAATCTATACCATCTCAGTGTGTATACAAATATATTGCAGCATCCCTGGTGTAGGCCTACATGCACTCATCTTCAGTCAGTCCCACTTTCAGTTCCCGTGCAAGCAATTATGCATGAAGAGTTCAAACTAACCTGCTAGAGCCTTTCATGCCACAGTGAAATATGAGGAAAAAATTCCTTCAATGGGAGTTTTAAACATTTGTTTTGGGGCCTAATATGGTGTCCTAACATGAGGCTGACAAAGTTCATAAAGATGGCTAAATTAAACCCATCCCATTAGAAAAGTCAGCAGGATTTCTTTTCATTTTTCCAGAGAATAATCGTGACCGCCTTTCTTCTTGTCCCTGCTAAAATAATTGTAATAAGTGTCCTTTATACTATTCAAGGCTTGGTCTTTTATTTAACCTGTAAATTTATATACTATATATCCTGTATTTACTGGGCCTGGATCACTATCATTAATACTCACATTTTAACTTTCAAGGTTGGCAGACATGTTTTATATTGTTATGTATGACCTGGCTTAGTTTCATTACATATGAAAACTTCCCAAAAAAATGAAGGTAATTGTCTTCTATAGCATGACTCCAGGGCACAATGATGATCCACAGTGATATGTTCATCTTGAACACTGTTTCTGAACCATGAGACGATGGCTTGTGCGCTTAAACCTCTGAATGGGAGCGGTGATGCAGAACCTCATTATGTGTCAGTAATTTAAATAAACGTGGCATTTTATTCATTAAATGTGCTCATTGAGACCATCGAGATGCTTTAGGGGCAGTAAACAAGCATATACTCACTATCTTTATAGTTGAACTTCACAAGAAACGATGCCGATACTACTAGAAGTTAAGAGACTGGATTTTGTTCAAGGATTTGAAATTGTAGAGTACGTGTGCTGAATCATCGGCAAATGATAAAGTATAAAAATCCAGCTGAGCATATAAATTTGACTTCAAAGTTGTTCATTTGGGTTTGCAAAAGCCAAAGTGTTTGTGTTTTCGACATTAAAAAAGCCAAACATATGGTTAAGTATTTGACAACAGTAATATACTATAATAACCACCTATTACTGTTCAAAGGAAAGGTCTCTTAATGCTAACCAAGTGAATTTACTTTTTGAACACCCAACAAATACTGCAGTCATGAATGATTCTCTCACTTTGCATACACGGAGATATACAGTTCATCAGTCACATCATCATGGATGCATCGTCATGTTAACTTGGGTTAAACTGAAAACACAAATACCCATTCACTGTATTTAAACCATTTCTTAATTTAAAGAAACTAGTTTAAACTAAATAAAGAAAAACAATATTAGTCCACCAAAGATAACAAGCATTTGTTGTTATTGGTGTTATTATGTGATCTGCAAACAAACATTAAAAAGCGATGCACTGGTTTGATATTGTATGGATTCGGATATTAGCAGATATTGATCGAGCCCATCTTGTTCAAGCTAACGTTCTATAAAAGGAGATTAGATACACAATGTCCTTATACTGTACATGCTCATATACACTGTGGTTTATACTTACCCATCTGACAGGAAGAATTTGGTCCTCTCAGTACAGACAATAACGCTACGGGGTTGTCTCTTCTCAATTAACTCTGATTACCAAAAAAATTGAGATCATGGGAAAAAAAGACATTTTCCATATTTAGCGTCTCCTATTGACATATCTACAGAGAGATGTGTGTACTTACTTTGGACATCATCAACAGAGGATGGCAATAATCTTTTGTTCATTTCCCTAAAGTCAGGAGCTAAAAAAAAACATCAATGGTGTATGAAAAGAAATCAATAAGTGGATCATCAGTGGATAAAGAACATCAGTCTGTTATAGAGTACAAACATCAAAAATCTGTCCATAGGAATGCCACCACTGTGTGCATGTCCTGCACACATGGGAGCAGAATCAAACCTAGAACTCAAACATGTCATTCTGCTTCTTCGCTAGCTTTGCCACCTCCTGTCGGATCGCTTGCACAAGTGCTGAGGTGGAGAGGCTGCTCAGGGGCATACTGTCCATGTCCTTCAGCACCTGGGGTAGACTTTGCTGGGATGATGTGCTTGGGGCAGGTGGTGGCTGCTCCAGTGTCTGGTTATACTGCAGAGGCAGCCTGGTGGGGCTCCCCTGTGGGTAGCGAGGATGAGGAAAAGCCTCTACGTACCCAGGCAGGGGCACCTGAAAAACAAGATGAACAGGACATCAGAAATACAGAAACATCATTACTACTGCCCACTAAAGATGACTTTGTTAGAAGACAGAATATTCGTTAGTTTTCCATCTTGCTGAGTGAACAGTTTCTCTTGAACCACTAATTTAAAAGAATGGGTGATAACGCAAAATATACAAAAAATGGACCAACGTAACAAGGAAAGTAATGAGTGTGGAGCTCTACAAAAATATTAAACTAAGATGCAACTTGATTCAAACATTGCTTCGAACAAAAATCTACTTTTGCATGAAGACACAAATTTGAAGTGTCAGCATTACACACCACAAAACTAAAAAAAAAAAAAAGGAAAAAAAGCAAACAGTAAATTTTTTAAAAAGGTGTTCATTTAAGAAATGTGCTCAACTACCCCAGTGTTTTGTTGTGTCCACTCAACGCCAGCCATAAATTCAGTTCAGCAAATGGTTTCTAAATGACACTGGTTCTGCAAAAAGACACTGCATGAATGCATTTGGTTGAAACAGGCAAAGAGACAAGAAAAAAAAAAAGACAAAAAACATTTCATACAAACAGGGAGAGTGCAGGGAGGGAGGGACACATAGGCCACACGGGTTGCAATAACACATCTAACAAGACAAATGGAGCCTTTCCAATTGTAATGAAAAACAAAGAACATTTAGGACTGTGCTTAACAGCTACTAAGTTAAGTGAGTCCCAGTCATCTTCAAAGTTAAAGACTGGGCAGAAAATGTGTTTTGGATCAATGTCAGTTCCATAATGAGACAAAGGACAAAAAAAATGTTTAATGGGGAGGGGTATCCCAACTACGCGACTTTTTATTATTAATTCATGTCAGTTCAGTACCACGCTTTATGGCTCTTTGGGCTTGAATTGAACTTATGGAGAAGCATTTTAATATTATCTAATATATTTTATCATATTAATAGTGTGTTTCAGGAAACTGTATGAAAATAAGAGAAAACAAAAAAAAAAACCTTACATGTATGTTATGTTTGTAGCCATTCTCTAACCTGTTCAGAGTCTTGATTTATTCTTAATCCTTCAAGAAATTCATTTGGAGGAGTTTATTTTAAAGATCTAATTATTAGTCCAAGGATCTCTTGGAGCTATGGGACAACAGCTTAAGCCGGACTGTCCTGTTTAATTCCGACATCTGGTAACGACATTCTACCGCTGTACATTAATTATTCTGCAGTAGGCTCGGGTGCTTCGGGCAAAATGAGCTTCCTTACAGAATCTGCCCACTGTGGCGGCACATCCTCGGGTTCAGGTGGATAAGACATCCAAGAGGGACTGTGGTAGGAGGTGGGCGGTGTGGACACAAAGTATTCTGAGTAACCGGGCCTCGTGGCTGGGATGGCATAGACAGCCGTGATTGGGTTTCCTGTGAAAAATAGAGAAGAGAGAGTGGCGCTGACTCATTTCATTTGTGGGTTCATAGATTTCAGCTTTTCACCTCAAGCATTTTAATTTGTCCAAATATTTTTCCATTCTTGACAAAGTAATGTTGGCATTAAAGCACACTGGAACACACTGTGGTTTGCTTTTAAAATGCAAAGTCATCTCCTTGTTATGCTTACCTGAGTAGTTGGACACAGGCTGCTCTGCAGTGATAGATGGAAGTGCTGCTCTAGTGGTTGGCCCATATGGGTTGTTGTCATGTTGACTCTGCATTTCAGCGACAGATGTCTCTAAGCTCCTTCCCTTAGGCCCCAAGTCAGAAGTGGAACTAAGTTGGACAGAGATTGGAGAGGCAATAAACAAAGACATGCTGCAATACTACACCACTAGATGGCAGACACATGCTGAGTGAAAAAGTGGGCACCTTATTAACATTCTTCCCATCTCTCAATGCACTGCTCCAATATTAAAATTTACACAAGCCCTAAAATCGCGCTGGCCACAGTACATCACCCAGTGACTATCTAGTCCCTGAATATGCATTTAAATATGAATAAATGTTGAATATCTTATGGGTTTTGGGAAATACAGGCAGCAGTATGACGGTCTGTCTGCAGCTGTGCTCGTGTATATCTTCAGCATTACCGTCTTAGAGAAGTCCCAGGAGGGGGCCCAGTGCGAGGTGGTAAAGGGGGAGGAGAACCCATGGCCTCAGGAAGCTGGGTGAAGCGAAAGGCCTTAAACAGATTGTGAAAGCCATTTAGGGTTAACGTTTCTTTATTACAGGTATTAGAGAGCACAAGTGATTCTCAGCCAACTTACTGGTTCCGGCAGGCTACACTGATACATATCTGTACCATAAGATGGCACCCACTGGAGGCCTCCCTGTCCAGAGCTCATTGTACCCGGTGCACTGGTCACCACATCTGCATAAGGGAGGGGAGGCGGCGCAGGGTTGTAGTGGTTTGGTTGGTGGTGGTGGGAGTGCCTTCCAGATGTGGACTGCCCCCCTGAAGCCAGACTGAAAGCCTCCTCTAGCAGCAGGTGCATCTGCTGTCGCACTTCATCAATCGACGGTTGCGAGCTGAGAGTGGATGTCTCTGAGTGGCCTTTCAAGCCCCGTCCATACATGTATCCCCGCGGTCCCATGATACGATCAACATTTGTCTCCTCAATCAACTCTGGCTCAGTCTGAAAATATTACCGTAGGGAAACTATTGTGAACTGAGACTAAACATACTTTTGCAAAGTCTGACAACTTGTACATTTGGTAGAAAAGCCTATATTTATCTGTTTCATTTTCTTAAATAACAACAACAACAACAAAACAAGCAACATACAAACAAGACTGATGAGATATGCAATTTTGGCACAGGTTTAACCCTCTGAGGCCTAAGAAATTATCTGTGGTGACCCAAACCCTAATCTCAGGTTGACAGTTAAGATTTTAGCAATCAAGTCACAAAGAAATGATCATTCCAACTGAGACACATCAAAGCCTATTTTTTTCTCAAAATCCAGGGTTATGATTAGAGCTTAGGCTAGGGTTAGGGTTGTCACCAGTGATGACTTTAGCCCTCAGAGAATAAAAGCATCAGTTTCACGGTAGCTTTATGCTGATGGTTTGTGGAAAGCATGCTTTGACTTTCACATTTTTGTGATACTTTTAAACGTAGCCTTTCCACACTGAATTGTCCGGATGCTAACAGATACAAGTCCTGTAATGTATTTTGTAACTCTGTCACTTGGTTTCAAACAAAGTGCTGACTGAGCTAGAAGAGGCTGTTTAACATACACTTGAGTGTACTAGATTAATTTGCTGTAATAGTTTAATCCAATGTTGTTATGAGTTTGGTTACAGTAAGCTTAGGAGAAGGGCCACTGATACTTTATACATAACCACTGTCCTCTCAACTCTATGTATTCCACTCTCAGCCTTAATCTCCTCCATCTTTTCTTACTTTCTCTTTAGCCACATGAAATCAGTCCTCATACTTAGTGATAAATTAATATGAGTTGAGGCTGTCCTACTTCCTGTGCGACTACAGACTAGTCATGGGAGACCTAGTGTGGTGCACCTCATAAATCAGCCCCTCTTGCAACACAGAACATCAGAGAAATATATCTGCAATGATGGAGCCTGCAGCTACACGAGGCCCTCTGTAATGTACAGGGCCAGGAGTTCTGAGAAAGGATCTTGTAATTTGTACTGGCCATTGTGCCGTGTTTCTAACAGAGCCGAAAGGTTGGTAACAAAGACTTCAACACACTGTTTTGCTTGCGATACCAGCTAGTCATCTCAAACACCTGATCTATTTAAACTGGAAGCAAAAAGCTGCCAGACCAGATTTGAACCTGCAACAGAAGACAAAGCAACAGAATTGCATAAAACAGTAAGATTCAACATAGGCGCCCAAACTACAGCTATAAGAGCCAGTAGACCTTTTTATTTTTCTCCCACGAAAAGTCAGATGGCTGTCAGGTCAGTGGAAGTTCAGAGAAATATTTCCAGCACTGGCTCAGAATGAAAGCCCTCTTTAGGAATGGTCTGCCTGATTGCTCTTAGAAGCTCCCATACCCGTGTTTGGTCTTCATGACAGAAAAAAGCCATACACAGAACCATAATGGACCAATAAAACAGTAGGGACATAAACCAGTCTTCCTGAGATGCATTATATATCAAAATGACAGGACCCAATAAATCTTAGCTCTTAATTATAAATGAACCACTTTTCTACCTTCAGCAGGCTGGGGCACACTTGAAACCACACCTGAGTTGAATATAACTCATTTCTGCTCTGTTGCTGCATGGAGAATAAGGCTGAACTCCAGCAGGGATTGATTTTGATCTTTTAATTCAGTGCAAATAGGCAACCTTTTCTTTAATTACTATTAAAATGAATGAGAAACACGGGCACCGTTGAACAGTAATACATCAGAAAAGTAAAAGTCACTTGTGCAGTCTTCTACACACAGGTTGCAAATTACCTCGTATTAATACATTTAATAAATACCAGCATTTGTTTCAGTGTTGCTAAAATGCTTTGTTAAATAAGTTTACACATAAATATCTTGCTCTGTCTTTAAGCAGGCTTTTACAAATGCTATACTCCCACATGATATGATCTCTTAATGCAATTCAGTGTAAAATGGCTGCGCAGAAACGCCTTTTAATGTGTTCTAACACATCCCTATGTCTAACTGAAGCCTTTCTCTTACAGGAAAGCTGCGTTCTCAGCTCTGGAAATACTCAGGTGAGGGTGCTGCCTGGGTAGAGCTTGCAGGAGGCAAGACACACGGCGTCCACTCACCTGATGTAAATTCTCCAGGTAATTACCTATTGTATTCTCCGACTGAGTCAGACATGCGCTTCTCGCATACAGCTCTGCGGGATAATGTCGAGAAAGGTTCAGGGCTGCAGTGCCAAATGTGAAAAACTGCTTTAGTCTTGTCAAGCTGCTCTTCCCCCATTTTGCTGGTAGTCTGTACAAAATTTCCTCTTGTCTTAAGTGTCCCTCTACAGCTGCACAGCAGCTTAACAATGTCTACAGAAATACGTAGGGGAAAATTTGCACTAAAATTAACTGGAAATTTGAAAGACATGCATTCTGTTTGCCCAACACAGACAGATGAACCCTCATTATAGTTTTAAGCTGAACTGTGGAAATATCTTTTACTCACAATGAAGCCTGTGGATTTTAATTCCCCATCAGAGGATCGCTTCACAGGCAGCAAGGACAAGAGTAACAAAAAGAGTTAAAATTACCAAATCTTTAATAAACTGGTGCATATTTTTTAAAATAGACTTGAACCTGTGTAGAGTTATCTTTTAACTGCTAGCTGGATGATCTAGTTGGGCAGACAGGGTCGGTGTTGAAATATAACTCACATCATAGCCGCTGTTGCGGATGCCTCTCCTGGGTCTCTCTCTCATTACAAGCAGGTCCATCTCTGTTCCTCCGGGGCTCGGACTGCTTAAGCTTTGTCTGCTTCGATAGGCCGCCTGCCCTACCTGCGAGTGCCTGCCAATTAGAGTAAAGAGTGGACTCAGTGCAAATCAAATCTGGTTTTGTTATTAACTTAAAACATTTACTCTTTCAGTTTTAATTTCCCCGCAGTGGCAAGTAGTGATGGGTGAAGGAAGACAATAAACCTTACAGTTTTTATTGAGCCTGACATTATGAACAGGGCGAGGAAAAGTATACATGCTACCTGAAATGTTAACAGAGGGATGAGATGTGATATGTTAGAAAATCCCAAGAATATCAAAGAAAAGTTCTGGGACAGATTTCAAATAATTGTTTGAAAGATTTATTTTTTTCAAAGTAAAATGGTCATCAAGTGAACACACAAACCCACTTTCTGGTTTGAACATTGCTGCTTAGCAGATGAGTGTGAGTTATTCTGATGTCTAAATGTAAAGTACAAGTACTACACATGTTTTTGTGCATCTGTGTGGTTGAAACAGGACAGAACCAGCATAGTGGTCCATCCAAAACCCTGAATTATCTCCATTAGGGAAGCTCTGAATTTGGATCAGTCTAATCAGAAAGGCCTAATGGGACTCCCACTACCTACTATGGCATAAATGGATAATAACAGTATTAGAGGAGGCACTTTCACTTATAGAGGTAAGCTAATTAGGCACAGCAGGGGTGAGCAGAGATTGCTAGCAGTCCATGATTAAAAGTCCAATCAACCAATATGAAGAACATGATACATGTGGTGGGTCAAACTTGTAAGCAAGAATGGATCTTTCTTTGTGTTGACAGTCAGTAAAATCTTGTTTCCAGCTGCTTCCCTACTCTCCCCTCACCTTCTGTGAGACTTGACATAAGTAGAACCTCGCTCATCATCAGGCTCCAGCGGTCTTCCATGCTCATCGGCAGCCCTCTCATGACCGTGTCGCTGTCTCTGTGCCACAGCCCGGCCACTGCTGCTGCCATTGGTGGATGGGAAATCATAATAGCCCTTCCTTTTAGCCTTCAGCCTCAGCTTGTTCCTGTAGTGTTCAATGTCTGACTTCTGCTTCAGTGCCAAGTTCACCTGCAGAGAGGGTAGGCCACAGGATGTAGCAGAACAGAGGACAATCAGAACAAATGCAGACATGAGGTTATTCTGTATGCGGTTACAGGTTTGTCTTAGAAGGCAGGTGTGAATAGAAAATGAACCCTTATTAAAAATTCATTATGTTGCTTCAGTATTACAACTGACATGAAAAATAAATTAAAACCCAAGAATAAATTATTGAACTATCCACTTCCAGGTTCTTCTTTAGACTCACTGTAAGTTTTCTAAAAATATTCTACTGGAAATCCTTCTTGGAAATGACAGCTGGATAAGGTTCCTATAAATATCAGATGTTGATTAAAAATGTGCTTATTTGTGGGTAGCACACAGAAAGATGTGACCTTGTGCCAACTTTTTCCTGGCGATTTTAAACTTAAGAGAGAAGTATGCAAGGACAGAATTCTATGTCTTCCAGCTTATATGACACGTTTTTTTTGTTCAAAAAGTATCCAACTGAGAGGATGTGTGCATTTGCATCACCTCTCCATTGACAATAGCCGAGTCCTGGCTGCGGTCAGAGGATGCCGGATGTGAGTAGTTGGTCTGTGCTGCCACTGGCTTTATGGAGATAAGCTGCAGGGAGCCAGAGGAGGTGTCATATGGATCTGAAGAACAGAGAAGGAGTTCACTCACAAAGAGACTACAAATACCTCTAATCATTACATTGTCAGTCAAAGAGGAATAAACGGTCACACTCTCTCTTTGTCTGTCTGTCTGATAACCACCCCCGCCTGCCCACCCAAGGGCTCCTGTCACCTCTTCACACTTGGGATTATGTCAAACATCAGTTGTCTGTGTCAGCAAACGAGTTTTTGGATGGAGACAATAGATCACAAAGATAGATTTGGCTTCCAAACTTGTGGCATTGCATCTCTGTGATAAATGAAGAAAAACTGACTTTGCACTTTAGTTCCTCGTTCAGCATCAGACAAACTAGATTCAGTCCTAGCTTTCCCTTAACTCAGCTGATGAATTATTCAAAACTAAGCATTAAGAATATCATAATCAAGCAACCCTGATCTAATTTAAAGAGTATTAGATTAATTTCACTCACATCCACCACATATAGAACATTTAGCTTCAGTGGACGAGAATAGAAGAGCAAATAATTCAACATCTAAATGGATTTCGCACAAACTGCACAGAATGCTCAAAGAGCACGAGAAGGCTGACTTCACATGGTCGTTTGGCTTTTTTTATGCTTTGCATTAATACATGTGTTCAAGCATGTGTTTGTGTCAGTGTGTCACAGCATCTGCTAGTCTGACACGGTGTATTATGCCAGCAGACTCTCTGTTTCATGTAATATTGATCAGATCTATCTATGCTTATTGCTGAGGAGGTACCTACATTAGAATGTAAAAGTAGCTGCAGTAGAAATGTAGTAGACATCCCTCCTATGCAAGTGTTTTGCATAGGAGAGAATGGAAAAACATCTGTCATACACCTGACCTCGTCCGCAAAGGAGCTATAGAGCAAATTATTTGTATTTGCATCAGCGTGTAACTCTCACCGTCCCTCTTGCGAGTCTCCTCCTTTGTCAGTTTCTGCTGTGCTGTGATTTTCGACACCGTCAGGCCCCTGCCGGAATTGGGCTTCTCTGATTCGTTGCTGATGACGGAACCATCCTCACTTGGCAACTTGCTGCAAGTAACCATAGCAACAAGAAAGGCGGTGAGCTCTCAGGAAGCTGGGCTCAGAGCCAGGTTATGTCATCCCTCGCTTTAACAACCTCACCTTCCTCTCTCGCTCACTCAAGCCTTTGTCCTGTTACCACAATGTGCTATTACTGTATTTTTTTTTTTTTGCATAGCAAAAAAAGAATAAAAAAGATGTGTGCTCATGTTAAAATCATCACCAAATGCTGCTTGCTCTTAGTATATCAGTGAAATCAACAGTATTCAATCAAGTATGTTCATTTTGTTCACTGAGACTCATTCGTTTTGCAGTAAAATGAAAGCAAACGATAGAAAAATCATCTTACTGACAAAAAACTTTACTACCATTATTATATTTGAAACATGTAATAACAAAATAATCATCTAATTCTCTTGCTAAAAAAAAATTGGCAATATGAAGGATTTTTGGACATTTATCTTCCCGTTTTGTGTCTGTACTACATATGCAGTGTCGATGTATGTGCAAAGTACACGTCAGATTATTTCCAGAGTGAAGCAAGGCTGGACAAACAATTGCTTCAAAACTGTTGTTTTTACTCGCTTCAAACGCCGTACTCTACTTGGAATTAGAGCCGATCAAGCCTCGGCTCAAAAGACCACGAGGCTGACAGTGACATCAAAGCACTATGGTCTATCCCCTAATTGTCTGCCTAAAATTGATAACAGCAAAGAAAGACAGTGGAACAGTGGCTACCCTCCCCGTGCTCTAACTGAGGCAGTGCTGCAGAGCTAGCCCCACTCTATAGTCTGAGGCTGCATAGAAACATATAAAAATTTATAGAGGTGGACAGATTGTGGTTACCCTGTCGGTGTGAGAGAGTTTTAGGTTTAAGGCTATTAGAGATACACTATACACGGATGCACATAATCATGTAATAAAATTAAAATTAAATTAAATGACATGATTTTAGATATTGACAAAAAAAACGTTTTGGTTTTTACAAGCTATGTGTATTAGTTGATGCATGATAACAATTTTTTGAAATGCAACAGTGTGGCATTTTACCCCCTTTAATCTAAGTTTAAAGTATATCTAATATTCCACTCTCTTGTTATACTGAATGGAAAGTCAATCAGAAAATAGCTCATCTGGCTCATGATCAATCACAATCCACGGAGGTTCACAAACAGTTATATCTGCAAAAACTTAAGTAGCAATTCTTGCAAAAATGGAAAAAGCACCAGTGAAATTACAAATATGACCATAACCTTGGGAAGTTTCGGTGAAGCCCCATTAGCAGATCATTGTGTACAAATTTCACTAAAATCTAACCAATACTTGAATTGTGGTATTGCAGAAGAGATAATCGAGCTAACAGACCATCGATGGATGCTTCGATATCCCATAAGCCATTCTTTTGGATGAGCTAAATTAACAGGATGGCAAAGTAAGTCAAACCACAGTATTCCTTGTCTATCGGTTTACATTATTGATGTGTCTATATTTATGAAAAAGCTAAAACTAAAGGTTATTTTTTGACGTTACCAAACAGTAAACAAAAATGAACAACCTTGAGCTCTCTGGATAAGTGACACTTGGGAAAAATCTTGAAGCACATGCTTCCTGTATTTTGGCACCATAGTAATAATAATAGCAGGATTTTAATTAATACTGGCAGTTTTACATCTGCCTAATCAAATTTAGAAATTGGAGAGTATAATAGTCTTATAAAAATGAGTCACTGACACTGATGTTATTGGAACTGTTTTTAAAACCAATTAGTGTGATGGCCTTGCATCAATAGTTGCTGTTTGGCCTGCTTTCTGCTTCCTCCTTTTTATTTCTGATACAAATCCCTGACTCTGTTTTCGCACTCACAGACTGAATTCACGTGATCAGGAGTCTGTATAAGCTTCTTTTCTCTGAGCGTGGTTCTCTCTCCTCCCACCTTGAAGGCTGGTGCCTTTTAGCCACCCAGCAAGATTTACATTTGCTATGATTTGATTGATTTTCAGCTATTCTCCTGGGTGGCCACCTTCATTTGTTCGTTTGGTTTATATTTGTTGAGCTGCTATTAATAAATGCTGACATGGCTAAAATTGCTTCAGCATGGCTCGCCCTTCTTTGTTGTATTCTGAACCGACCAGGCAAAACACTACCAAATTTGCAACAGAAATGAATGAATGAAAAAAAATGCTACAAGAATTCCAAACTAACCTCTACAGCAAATGTTCTGTGCTCTGAAAACTTGGAGCCAGGCTTTGTTTTATAACAGATGAAGCGAGGACAGACCGCAGGGTGGAAAAAGGTAAATCATAGGCTTGGTACGTCTTAGGATAAGTGCATATAGCTGGTTAAAACCCAGGAAAATCTACTTAATGATGACATATGAAGACTTTAATAGCTTTTTGTTATTCATTAGTATCTTGATGAATAACAAATTAAAAACTTTTGCTGCCTCAGGAGTGTTTAAAATCATTACAGCAGGACCACTAGTCCATAGATTCCCTTTTCTATTACATAAATTTTGTTCGATATCATTATCTTGCATGGCCTTGAAATATTATGCCCTTTTGCATTCCCTGATTAAATAATTTAGCATGATTTAACATGGCAATTAATTACCGAGTCAGCGCGACTGACTGTCAGATGGGGGAAAAGGTCAATTTCACCTGCCCATGCAGAGAACTCTGCTTATAGCTGCCTATCGCTCAGCACTGGAGTAAAATGAGGACAGAGTATAGGACAGGAAAATGTATGTTTTATCATCTTGCCTTTCTTTATATAATTCAGGCACTTTGCACATGAGTAGTGATCTCGTGTGATAACACATATATTGTAAAAAAAAAAATCAATTAAATTATTTATCTAGGAAACACGTAAAACTCAAAATCCAACCCTTCACAAATTTTCATCTGGCCCACCTTTTAGTTTATGTACAAGCTAACAACCTTAACCTATATCACAAAGATGCAAATCCAATGCTGAAGATAGACAGTTGTGTAGTACAACAGATGTCTTCGCTGAGCATAAAGAGAGGACCATGTGCATCCATTTCCCAAGAAACAATCTCATATACTTCTATTGTCATTTTGAAACCACATGCCAGCAAAGTTACAGAGCCATGTAGAGAGTATAGAGGCTTCAAAAAGTCACTGCCTAAAAAGAGGCAGGCAGCTACAAAAATGTGATTTTACAAGCCAAATCCCAAAGTGATGGAGCTGTAAAGGCAAGCTTCATAATAGAAAATACAAGCCCATTAGTGGAGGATATTCACACGCAGCTAGTGAGCTGTCATGTTGAGGTCTGTGAAAAAGACAATACTACACTTGTAAAAATATGTGCGCAAAAAAAGGGTTAAATTATTTTGCTTTTATCAGGATGTCTCTTCCTTATTAAGTGACTCACACCAGAATGTAGTTTGTTTGACTAAACAAATGATGGTTAGGCAACATGTGGAAGTTTTAGGGGCTTTCTGTGGAACAATTTATATATAAGAAAGCTCTACGGGACATAAACAACAATATAATTCAGGATATTTTTGATTATTTTTGATTAAATAAAACCATGTTAGTGCTCTCATTTCCCAGGCTGGTCCTAGTGAAATTGAGTTTGATACCCCTGCTTTACAAACATCAGCATGCTGACTGAAGTATACAACTCAGACAGCTGGGAGGTTGAGTTTTGTTGTAGCTTTGTTTTAACCTTATGTGATGAGACCTTTCCTCAGCACCATCATCATATCGGATCATGATTTATGTCCTCAGAGTTCTTGGTTTAAATCACTAACAGATGATAGCTAAAGCTATGGCCTGTAAAAACTTTATTTATTTTATTTTTTATTCTTTTGTGAAAAGCATCAGGCCTAGCACAGAACCCTGTGGATCTCCATGATCATCTGTGTGTGAGCAAGACTCATTAGTTATATGAACAAATAAGGATTTATTGGATAAGCGTGACTGAAACCAGCACAATGCATTTCCTTAGTGTCATAGTAGTTATTCTCAAAGCTAATGCCAAGAAAAACAAACTGAATAAAGATCAGCAGTTTCTAAAGCTGCTCTACTTGATCATACATCTGCCAGCTCTGTATGGAGGCTAGGTTTTTTCTTCTTTTCTTACTGGTCAGAACTTTATTTGTAAAGGAGCTCATTAAGTCATTACTACTGATAGTTAAAGGGATACAAGGTTCAAGAGGACTGTGATGAACAGAGCTGTGCTATTCCCTCAGGTCTATTTTTATGTTCTGTTTCTGTTTGCTTTCTCTAAGCCAATCAGCTCCCACTCCTTGTTCTTTAAATCCCGCCTTGAAAATCACCATGCACCCCTTCTCTTCCTCTCCATCTCCCCCTCATTTGTAATGTCCAAGACGTCTCATTCAAAATCTCCATCAGCCATCTGCTTACTCTGCTCCACCACCAGCTTCAAGGCTCCAGGGGGTCCTGTCACTGTCTCCTACTTTTACTGGACTCTGCTTTATGATGTCACTTCTAATCAGTCTAACTGCCAAAACACTTCAGTTTGCATGGTCCATTTCTGCTTATTGTGCTTGCACTACACTCTGAAACAATTATGACACAATTTTTAATTAACATGTCACAGGCAAGTTTTCAAGTATTTTGGGGGGTTTGTTTAGACTATTTGCACACACACACACACACACACAAAATCTGTAGGCAAACTGTTAACTGTTAACTAATGAACATATAATCATTGCTATCACCTGAGTAACATCATGCATTTTTTTTAACCTCAGATCAATACAAGTCACGTAGGTAAAAAACATTTAGAGTGAGTGATACCTTTTGTGTTTGTCAGTGGTGAGACTTTTCTTGTTGGCAGTTCCATCTTGTTGCAGAGCCTTTTCTAGTGAAAGTGGTGTGTCCCGTATTTGTAGAGACATCACTAAGGTATCCTGACTGACAGGCAGTGTTTCCTCATCTCCTCCTTGTTGGCCAAGGTGCTGTTTGGCATAGTCAAAACCTTGGACTGGCTGATAGACAAGTTGGGTGAAAATGCAGAGTGACAAAAAGTATAGCTGAAGTGAGAGTGATTTCTTTATCACATACCTCTTGTCAAAAAAACTAACCATTTCAAGCAACACAGAACTATGCTGCCCAGAACGAGTGTTACAAATATCTCAGTATAGCTAAAATACACAGTGAATATTTTGATGTCCAAAGGATTTAGGAAAAAGAAGTGGGGATTACTGCACCGCTGCGCCTTTAAAAAAGATAAGCACAGATTTAACTGAGGCCCTTTTTCATGTTCTTCCAAATTCTTGTCAAATAAATGACTTGCAGTGGGCGGTGACAAAAATGGGATTTGCAGACTTTCACAGAAATACAGCAATAAAGTTATATATTAAAAAATATTTGAGGACAAGCGAGGAAAGGTACAGGCTTCTACCTAACACTTGAAGCCAATATACTAAAAAAAAAAAAAAACAGTAGTAGCCAAAATACTTCAGACCCACTCACTAATACATACACATACGTTAAAATATTTAGGACCGCTCCCATCACGGTGTCATAAATTGTCAGACACACATCACTGCCTCAAAGTAACCCAGACATGGTGCAAAATCACAAAGTGTGACACTGCTGTGAACATTCATCCTCTCTCTGCTGATAGAGCACACACACACACACACACACACACACACACACACACACACACACACACACACAGAGAGAGAGAGAGAGAAACAATTTTCACTGAATCCTGTCTTCTCACTAACTGAAACCCCTCCTGTTGCTGGTTTCAAAAGAGCAAACTCTAACAAGGGTGTGTGATGAAACGAGTTGGCTGGCTGACGCTGAGTAATGTAGAAGAGCTAGCACAAGAGACTCATTTAAATTTTACCTATTTGAAGCTATCTTTGAGCAACTGAGGGTTTTTACATTACTTATTAGAAGGAATCGGATATTCTTTCACTAAAGATTTTTCATAACATTGAGTATTTCATATTTTATAGAATTTAGCTGGTATGGTGGGGTTTTTTACATCATGCAAGACCTGTGTGTACAATTGGCGCTCTGAAAGCAGTGCTGAAGTTGCTTTTGCAGTCTAATACGAAGACTTTATTGCTTTCTCACTAATGAAAGTTCATAAATAAGACAGTGGGATACGTTGAGTTATACTTTGCATCTTCATGTATCTACAGTGATGTATGTCAGTAAACTACTGAGTCCAAAAATGACACGCATGCAGCTGGAGATATTAGGTAATTACAGAAACTCTGAATGGAGCAATAACTAAACCACTTTTCCATTTTCTCTACACAAACTAAGCAATTGTGAGCATACACACAAACAAAAGCGCTCATTCTGCTGGTAAACCATTCTTTGCAAGCCTTAGTCTTTCAGATTTGTCATGTGGTGACTGCTATACTGTAACAAGTACAGGCAATGCCATTCTTTTATCTAGGGAAATCTCATTGTTGCAGGTTTGATAGTCAGAATTCCTGTTGTATCCTTAGTTTCCATCAGCACAGCAGGATTTATTACAATATATAATAGCTGCTGTCTGCCCAAAATCCCATTCAAATCCCACTGCTGGCACAGCTGAGCCTTGAAAATGAAAACACAGATCAGTAATGAGGAGGAATACAGAGAAATAGATACCTGGTGATAATAGCCCACATCTCTCCGGTACGCCATCTAAAAGCCAGAGAAAATGTTTTAAACATTATATGTGTGATTTGGGTTTGTGTTCAGAATTGACTAGGATTCTGCTAATGCGTTAAAAGAGGGCACTGAAATGGGATAACGCAGATACTGTGGAATAAAATACAGAAAACACAAAATCCGAAAGAATAACAAACAAAACGTCGCTAACATATCCCAGCATCACTGACCCTGATCACGCAATGACAGATGGCAGACATCACACAATCTGTAGTCTGTAGCTACTAAATAAAGTGACAGACAGTACATCTCTTAATGTTCTATCAGGAAAAAAAAGACCCTGAACTCAAGGTCTTCACGTCTTTGTCTAGCCAAGAATCCAAGCCTTCAAATTAAGACAAGCAGCAAATGGTCACGAAGCCTGAAAATATATTTAAACAATGAATTGATTACCAAAACATAGCTCAGTACATGAATAAGATAAATACCTTAGCTCGTGGGTTAAGGTTACCGATGGCATCCGCTTTGAAGTCATTCTTATTCTTCCTGCACAGCACAGCTGTGATGATGATAATAATGAGTGTTACTACGGAGATCGGGGCCAAAACAGCAGCGATTATCCAAAGGTTATTAGGAGGGTTCTTGACGACAGCTGAAAAAAATTTAAATAAGTTGTTTTATTTTTTGTTGTTTCTTTGTTTTGTTTTTTTGTTTGTTTGTTTTTTACCTGTCATTACTTTATGACATCCAGTAGGCTCTAAATGATAACCATTTGTCCTTTGATTTGCTCATTAAAATATAATGAAGTCCTCAGCATGTTGTATTGACAAAACATGAAGAATCATTCATTACACTGCAGCACTGCATACAGCTCAAGCTGACATACACTGCGCCTCATTCAGCTATTGCAGGCGACAATCCAATGCATAGGAGAATGCTGCATGCCCCCTCCCACACCTGCCACCCACAAACTCTGTCTCACCCTTTTTTCCCCCCTTGTCTCTTCTCTTAGCAGCAAGCTGCACTGTAGCCCAAACAAACAATGTCCCGCTGGGAGCATTTCAGAGAGATTAGACAGCAAAGAGCTTTCTCAACCTTTTCTTCTATGTCTCTCACCACAACACCAGCTTTTCTTTTCCAAACTCGGCATGAATCATGTGTTTTGGTTCGCCTGTCTCTGTGTTTGTGTCACTTTTCCTAGCTGTCAAATGCTAGAAGGATGCTTTGCTTACGTTCTGCTTGCACCTGGACAAAGTAGCCCAGGGTGAGCGCCATAGTCTGAGAATCCACTGTGTTCAGGACCTTGGCAGCTGATGTGCCCAATAAAGGAATGCCATTGTGTTGGACATAGTAGGTCATCTCGGCCGGATTCTTCAACCCTGAGATCCGGCGGATGCTCACCATCTGATTGGGTATGAAAAGGGATGTGTGTGTGTGTGTGAACTGCTGTACAATCAGCATAAACCTATTCAACGGCTATTACAATGTCTTATGCACCAACTTTAATTTCACAAAATACAACAACAAAAAAATCATGCATTTAGGAGAGCTTCTTAAGATGAAAAACTGTATGAAAAAAGAAAGGACTTGTTGGGTAAAATATTCAACCTCTGACTTGTTTTGATGAGCAATTACCACATGATGAGCGGAGAAGTACCTAATTATCAGGGGTTGACCACAAATAATCGTGCAAGCATGTGCAGAAGTGCGTATCAAAGTGTACATCTTATGAAATATTCATACTGTTGGGAGAAAAAAGCCAACGAAACAAATTTGACTAATCTGACTTCTGACATGCCAAGGCAGTCAGGCAAAACATCAGAATAAGAATCTTAGATGACTGGCATTCCCTACAGGCTGCAGTGCCAGTTTCTTACCTGGACAGTGTAGCTGCCTACAGTCGTTGCTCGTCTAAAACGAGTGCCCTGCTGGCCCGCCAACACAAACAACTCTGCCAGGCGCTGTTCCATTAGACTGGCGAAGCTTTGGTACTGTCCCTCCAGGCTGGCATTATCCACATCCTGGATCACTGCAAATGTAGTTGAAATAAAGAGGATGGCCAGATTGTTGTGAAGAGAAAAAAAATACATGGTTGGCAAGGGCAGAAAGGAGTACAAAAGAAAAGACAGAGGCACAGTTGGAAATGTGTGTGTCTGTGTGTGTGCGGGTTGTAATATAGTGTAGCTTGCTTCAGAATTCAATTCAGCTTTCATTATTGGCATGACCATACTTAGTTAAAGTGCTGCCAAAGCACTGTTAATTCTGATATGAACTTATGAGACATTCAGAACCTTATTATAAATAGGAAAAAGCAGAAAAGCTATAATTCTGGTTGGATCTCATCTTCAGTGTGGGGCTGACTTTCAACTATTCAAAGTGTCACTGGAGTAGGTGTAGAGCAACAGATTGTGATCTGAAAGACTCGTTCAGTTTGACAACTTAGAGATATACAACAACCAATGAGCCACAACATTAAAACCCCTGACAGCTGTCGCAAATACTATTGACCGTCTCATTATAATGAAATGTTCTGCTCGGACAACCAGGGTTCTGCTCCCTCCCTCCAAGCAGAACATTACACCCTTGCACGCTGATATACTTGATCAGGAAAGGCTTTAGAAAATCAACAATATGTGCATTGTCAAAGCCTCCAAACTCTCCTAAATCCCAATCAGATAGAGCGTCTGCAGAACGTACTGGAATTACCCCAATTAATGGATGCCCCACCCACAGCAACCCACAGAGCACAAAGGATCTGTTGCTAAACACCATACATGGCATGCCCACATCCCAACAGATACAGTAACAGCTGTTTTAGCACTATAGTGAAAATCTGCACAACATTAAGCAGGTTGTTTTAATTCTGAGGCTGATCAGTGTATTGCTCCTCAGCCAATTTAGTCATTTAAAAACACCCACATTGAAAACATTTACTAGGACTCATTTTGTACTTTATTTCTCCTCTGGAATGAGACAGTTCATCAGTTCATTTCTTAAAGTTCCCATGAATATTTTCAAAACTGTAGAAGTAGAATGTTCCAGGATGTCGTTGGAGGACTGGGAATTGGTTGCATTTGAATACTGGTCATAAGTAAATGGCGACTCATAAGTAAATAATCCACTCACAAAGCAGTGGGGATTTTAACAGTCAGTAAGCAATGATATCCCTACCTGTAACAACCCAGAAGTCTCTGGTTGCTATTGAAGTGTTCAGATTGTGATATTCCATTGCTGTAATGACAACAAAAAAGTTGAAAGCAAAGTTAATACCAATATACGATTTCCACACAGTAGTGTAGCCTACATTTGCCTTTGCACGCTGAGATTTTACAATGAATGCTCAGTTGCACAATTGTATATGACCTGAATATAATCAACAATGCAAAAAAAGCTCAACATATATTGATGCAAGTGTGAATGTATCATTTTGGTGGTGTTAATTTGAGCCGAACATACCAACACTTTTGAAACCTTTCAAGAAAAATGTACAGTAAGCCGTTGAAGGTTTGGCACATTTTGTGTGTTGATATCTCACTTTAAAGCCTCATTATCACTGATAGTCAGACAAATACAGAAGCAAGGGAAGCTTTAAGCAGTCTGAGCTCTGGTTGTCTCTGTGTTCTCTTACATCTATTTCCTGCCTGATTAAGCTGTTGTGCTAGAGACTGGTGCAGTGTTTTGGGGAATGCTGTATCAGTGGTCTGTGAAAGCACACTCACAGAACTGTACACTCAGGCATGACAGGAGAGACGGGTGGGGGAGAAGGGTGAGAGGAATAGTAAGGGCTTTAGCAACAATAATGGATAGGGCTGAAAGGCTGTCAGCAAAATCAGTTCAGTGCTGTCTATAAGCTTCAGTCATTTGAACTATTAATCAGCAAGGTTTAGCAAGCTTTTGCGTGAACCTCTGCTGTTTTCTGATGAGAACGTTGAAAATCCCAAATGCTCTCCAGCAAAAGCTATTATTAATTTTCCCTACTTTGTACCTTCACATGTTGAAAAGTTAAATGATCTAGTCTAAAATGGTAACATTTCCAAATAGCTTCAGTCATTACATTTGAGAGAGGTTGTTGCAAATCAGGGGGTGTAAAAGAGCTGAGCTCAGCAGTCCAGACTGCACGTTGGAACGTATGAGATCGCGGGCCTTTGCTGTCAGAGCAGAGCCTAAGGTGGCATGAGAATCCCCCACAGTTAATTATTTACTGCAATAATTGGCTTTGAAGTGAGGAGGCAGCCGCTGCTGGCATATGCTTGCACCTCCTGTGAGCAGTGTAATATCACTAACTGTGAGGCTACAAAACAAACAAAATCACTGTTACACACTTCTGTCTTTAACCCCACTGCCTCTCTGGCATTTTCCTCCATGTCAGTATCTGCTCCCTCTGTCTCTTCTTTTTACCGAGATTGCCTTCCTCTCTTTCTGTGCTCAGCAACTGAAACAATATGCCTGTAGGCAACTTGATTTTCTAACTTAATTCAGGCTCAACACAAAGTGGTTTTTAGTTTAATGCTCACTACTGGAAATCCTATCTATCTTGATTTCAACAATGTGAAACCCAAGACTGCTATCTATCCTCAGAGGCACTTAGGTCAGATCCCAGATTTGTCAGATTGGAAGACGCAAACCAAATGTCAAATATTTAATCTTAGATTGTTTTCTTTCTTCTGCACAGGACACACCAGGCTACGAGCAGGGAAACTGCTCTTTCTAGACAGGCACGTAGATGCTTTTGAAACATAAGATCTTCATTTAGTATTTTTAACTGTTAGAGGTAGTACCCCATTTTGTTTTGTCTCAGCAGCACAACCTTTGGACCATCTTACTTCTTAAAATTCAGTTTTAGAGGCTTTTCTCCTTCCCAGTACATAGGAAGTACTATCTTGATTAGGCTAACACGAGTGCAACACTGTTGACACTCTAGATATTATATATAGCTTTATTGAGCTCATATGGGATGGAGAAAATGCAACTATCTTTGACTCATGACTCCGAAATCTCATATATTTTGATAACAATTTCCTTTAACTTGTTACTAAACATAAACCATACAGAAAATTGATGTGGACTGAAAATATAGAGGCTATAAAAGGATTCAAAGAAATAAGAAAATCCACAAGAAAAGATGAGGATTCATTACAGTCACTGGCATGCTATTAAATTACTTCCTATTGGTGATGTGAATGGAAAACATTATTACCACTATTTGACAAACATTAACACTCAGTTCTGAATCTTTCTAAGATCCAAACAAGTTGAGTCTAAAGGTTAGAAAATCTGTTTGGTCTCTTCTCACAATGTCCTTAGCAACAACAGAACATGAAGAAGACTAAAAGTTAAAACTAAGACTGAACTCAGGCAGAGGTTATTGCAAGGAAGCCTATAGTCCTATATAAAGTATCAGCTCTGGTGTGATCCTGACCATGACCATGTCCAAGTCCAATGATTAACAATTTCTCAAACTGACCACAGTCTAGAAATATTCAAGCACTGAACCTGGTTAGAAACTTTTGCAATCAAGCTGGGAGACTTGTTTCTGCTTGAATAGAAAGCTAACCAGAGGTGCAGTTTCAACACATCAGCCTCTTTAAATCCACAGCTTGTCCCGTGGCTTCCTCTGTATTCCTGAAGTCTGCTTGACCCAGTGAGTCTTTAAATAGAATCTCTCCAGACCTGTTTGAGCTAGATAACAGGTTTGCTTACACTGGATTACATAATGCAAGACACTAAGGCCCATTTTGCACATATAATGTTTAAGATAATAATGCTACTGGTAAAGCATGAGCAGGACATCACTGCTCTCAGTGTCTGCACAGGATGCCTTCAGGTTAGGAAACACACCTTTTGTATGAACTTGTAATGAGCAAAACGTAACTCCGACAAGGACGAGAGAAAAAACTGAAAAAGTGCCTCGCTGTATGACTGCTGAATACGAAAGATCATTTCCTCTTCCATGCATTTGGCTATTATCTGCAGGGGTTTCAAGCAAAATGTGTGATGTAATATGACAGGTTGACTTCAGGGTACATGATAGATTATATCTAGCTGTTGCTGACTTGCTTCTTCTGGTTAACACATTCTGAAGGTCCCATTGCTTTTGTTTACACAAACTGCAGCGCATCAAGGAAGCACAAATCCAGAAGCCATTATGTGAAGTGTTGCTGATGATAGACATAGACTGAAGCACAAAAAATCTCCAGGCGATTTCTGGGTAAAATCCTGTTTGTGTGTGTGTGTGTGTGTGTGTGTGTATCAGAGTAGTTCTGTTGCTGAACCTTTATTGTACATTTACTGTGAACTGGGTCAAGCAAAACAACACAATCCCTCCTTTAGGGATTAATAACGTACCATAAAAATAAGTCTCATTATATTGCATGCATCTGAGGTCCATGTCGACCACATCTCCATCCACTGAGCAGTTACACAAGGGATAGTAACAGGCTGCCATAGGACGCTACTGGGATTGCTGTTTAGACTCCTGCTGATTCCCTGTCACTCTTTATTTTATTCCAAGTACAATGCTAACACAGATGGATGCTGACTATGCCCTCAAAGGAGGCTGAGATGAAAGGCAGAGGCTTAGTTGTGTCTTTTCATCAACTTTCTTTAAATGACTCAAATGTAAAATTGTGATTGTAATAGCATAAGAACAGTCAAAAACATCCAATTACTGAAAAACTGGATGTCAGTCAGGCTTAGCAAAGAAATTTATGGTTTTTGCCAATGCCTAGAGAAGCTTTTTGAGTCCATGTGAATGCAAAAAGCTCAGAATGCATTAAATTAACTAGGGCATGATTTCTAGCATAGTTAATCAATACTAAAGTTTCAGTGTCCAAACAACTAGAGCCAAACATGAAAGCCCTGTGAGACACAACCTGAAAAATCTGGAATCTCTTTTGTATTTAGAGAACAAATCATTCCCAGGAGAACCCAAGAACTACCTCTGATGCTTGTTCTTGTAGGGCCTGTTGCATTACTCATGCCTAACACTCACTTAAGAATGCAAATTGCAACTTACGCTCAGCAACAATAAGTGGCGGATAGAAGAGGAAGTAGCCCACTAGTTCAGCTGACAGCTGACCAAGTAGATTTGAGGCAGCAGTGCCATTAAGAAAGCCAGTCCCATTCTTTAGAGTGTAGACCAGTGACACAGCAGGGGATCCTGCTGCCTGAGAGACACTCAGCATCTAGGAAAAACACAAAAATCGAGGTCAGAAAAAGAACAAGGTATAGAGAAGTGTGGGTAATATGAGCAAAATGCTTAGGATTATACTGTATACTGTAATCTGCAAATTCTAAGAAATATTTTTCTAAATGACAGGGGAGGCACGGAAACAGTAACTGTCTTTAATGATAAATATCATCAAGAATCTCGACAGCAGAGAAATATGTATGTATAAATAAAAGAATTCAAAAATACAGTAGCTTTATCCATGCATAAACGCCAAATTAGTTTTAATATAGGGTGCACTTTAATGTGGCAGCACATTAAAATTAATATAACCAATGCCTCTCCCGCATAATTAAGTAGTTCTTGAAAAAAAGGCACAGCCCAATATGCTTAGGGACAATTTTGCTCAAACTGCACACAGTTTGCAGCTGTTTGTGGCTGCCACATCACATAAACCACATGGTGATACTGAAGTGTAACAGGGGACAAAATTAAGTTATTTATCATCAATATCTATCCTGACAGCATGCGGAACGCCTACGCAATTCCAGGACCAGAACACAAAGGTTCCCCCGCAGTACCTGAACAGAGAGTCTGCTGTTAGCGTTAAGCACTTTGGCCTGCGCTTCGGAAAAAACCTTCTCAAGCCTCTGTTCCATCATTTGAGAGAAGCGACAGGACCGAGGATCATCACCTACTCCCACAAACTGTAGCACTGCAACATAAAAACAACACAAACTGACAAACTGCATTCTGAAAATCAAAGAATTCTTCAAAAGCCTGTATGAGTGTGTTTTGCTATCTTTGACAGTATATAACTATATTAGGAACATTTAGAATTTGACTTATTTGTGCTTATTTTATAAGTACCTACATGCCATATTGCCATTTCTGTCTCTGATGTGGTATCACAGAATTTCTTTTCACACTTCATACCCTTCCAGTGCACAGTCAAAGAAGGAACATATAACGGCAAGTCTCAAGCAGACTTATTTTTTTCTTTTCAACCTGACTGAGCACTGGCTGACCTGTTTTCAGCTGGAAGCCTGTGGCTGGGCTGGGTCTCCATAATGCAACCGGGAGGGGCAGGGCTGTTACCATGGGGAGGTACTGCCGCAGGTCTGCAATCAGCTTATCACGGCCATAGGATGCCAAGCCTTCCATCACTACAGACGGAGGGTAAACTATATCCCCTCCAGTCACGTGATAAGCCACTGTCATGTTGGGAGAACCAAATACAGTCTCCACCTAAGAAAGAAAAAGAAAAAGAGAGTTGGATGTCTTTGAGAAGCCATATTGCTTACATTTTACCATTAATTACAAAATGATTACCTCTACAAATCCATGATTAAAGAAGGTATTTTCAACATGTCTTCTATGATGTGCTAAGTGTTATGAAAAAGTTTTGAGCCATACCTAGAGCCCAACTAGAGCAAAAGTTCTCCAGGCTTTCAAAATTTATTCAGACATTTTAGTCCAGTCATTATATCTAATAATTTTCAGAGGATTTCTTTTTTACTTAACACATACCTATGAATCATCCAAGAATAAAAAAGTGACCTAAACCATGGGATGAACCAGTGTTCTGTCTAGAAAACGACAACTTGGCAAAGAACCTATTTTAAATTGTGTCTCTAACCACAGCCTGTCACACACACACATGCAAAAACACAAATTGTTCTAGTTTCCTAATACAAATCTATAAAAACTACCAAATATTACATAGTTTGACAGGAATAAAATTCTGTTTTTGCACCAACAAAGTGATTTCCAAAGAGCTACTAGCCAAAAACTCAACATATCTCAGCAGTGTCTCCTTAAAATGTTGAGGAAACTGGACAAGTAGATGACAAAAGAAGTGGCAGGCCTGTGAGCATATCTATATCAATATCAGAAAGTTATGTACTTAAGGAAAAGGCAAAAATCCAGATCTGTCACAGGACCTTGGAGATGCATCTGGCCCATCTATTTGATTCATCTACTGTTTGCCAAAGCCTGATTAGAAATGACCTCACTGGAAGGGTGACAGTCAAGAAGCCATTCTTAATGAAGAAAAATGATCCCTTCTACACTTTTAATGAAACTTAAACATACAGTATATTAAGATAAAATACATTCTGATTTCTGAAGAAGAAGAAAGCAAATATGCTAACCCACTAAATGTAGTCATAAAAAATACATAAAAAATACATTACAAAATGAAAAATATCCAATACCAAAAAAACAATATAAAAAGCAAAATAAAATTGTAGAGAGAAAAAAATCATCCAAACAATAAATTACAGGCTAGGAATAAAATGAATGAATGAATGTCTGCGTTTAGAACCTCCTTAAAGGGCTGAGTGGTTCCTTTCACATTCCTAAATCAGAATAAAAGATACTTTATTATAAGATGATGCAAATCACCATAAAGCTGTTATATGCAGCACTGCATACCAGTTTGCATCATTACCCACAATGCAACCACAAAAAGTAAAGTGACATCTCAAGTGGGCCTTTCAGATAGCCACTGCTTTTTGCCTTTTTATTCATCTTAGTACGGAATGAAAATCACTTGCAGACAATGACTAGATGTCCAAGTCACTGGTGTGCTGCTTGTGGAGAAAAATATAATCAGAGGAATTTTGTTTCTAAAGGTCTCAAAGAACAACAATTTCTGTGTGTTGTATAGGGCCATTAACACATGTAGAATAAAGTTGTTCAAACATGGTGATTCATATGTTATGTCTGCTGACTTACTAGTAAGACAACTGAATAGAATAGCTTGTTAATGTCATCAGCCACACCTTTTACTTCTCCTGCTATGACAAATTGAAATTTCTACTGTAAAAAAAAACTAGAACGGTTTTTAAATTTATTTTAATGAATCTTACCATATAGTAAAAATCACTCAAATAGAAATTGCATACATGCTATGAAATCGTTCACAGTAAATCGGAAGATGCACTTGTTATCCAAGTCACTAATGAGAGCATCAGGAAGAGGAGGGAGTGATCGTGGAATACAGATATGTGGCGAGAACCATGAGGGCCTGAGGGGCTGCTGAGAAGAGAGACATGAGCAAGACTGTTAAATAGGTGAGTTTGGGACAAAGACGCTTATGTTCCTGCACCTCTAACACAAGAGGACTGGAATCAATACGTTCACGGATATAAATGCAAAACCTGTGTGTTTGGGAAATTGTGTCTCATTACAGAATAAAATTTATACAGTATGTGTTTGTCAGTTAGAGTTTGACTTCTTCGTGAACTCTGAGTACAGTGAAAGTGGAAAAGGGAATGATGGCAGATCTAGCGTGCGTGTATGAGAGGTGAAACCATTCAAATCCGTTATCTAAACCCATCTGAAAGCCTGTGCTGACAAGGAGATCCACTAGCCGAAACACTGAGAGCCTAGTCTCTGTAGCTGAGAGTCCCCACTCTGCTTCCTCACAATTCAGCCTTGTTACGAGCTCTGTGAAAAGAGCCCTTTATTATCACTTCATCCTCTTGGGCTTCACCCATGTGAAGGTGTTATTAAGAGATTGCATTTCGAACACACACACACACTAACTCAGTCTCAAAGAGTGTGACAGACTGCAGCGGACCGAACAGATCCCACTATTGGCATTCAAAAACTCTCAAGTTGTGGCAGAATCCTAACTCCATGAAAGACACGGAAATAGTTCACTATTATTTTTTTAATGGTCCTTTAGTCCTGAGGTTCAGTTCATTTAGTCTATTTCTCGTGATCTTTTTAGCATCAGCTCAGCACATCACTCTCCTCCCAACCATTTATAACCTATAATTAAACACAGAAGCAATTTCCCCAGCCAACAGCTTGCCTCTCATTGGATGAGAAAGAAGTGCTACTAAAAGGAAACCAGGCAATGCTGAAATGGGTGACAGGAGTGCACTGAAGCAAGACACCTTCAGAGACTACAGAGAGCGAACATGTGAGAGCACTGACCTTCACATCGCCAGGACAAATACACAAGGCTCCCTCTCAAATATTTGATACTTCCAGATTGAGAAATACAACACAATAAGGCATTTCATTGAGCTACGCATACACACACACACACACACACACACAGGTGCAGTTTACATTTCCTGGAGCAATGACTGTGACTGTGACAGTGCTATAAAGACAGATTTTTCTGTATTCACTTCCAGACCTCAAAAGACTGTTTTTATAACAAAATATATTGTTTGCATGTGCTTTATTCGTATATTCATATGTTTACCATCTTACTGACATCATCACAAGAGCAAGTCTTTGGTAGATCCTCACAAGTAAACATTTCTGTTCCTCACTTGGTGCTTTTCTCACACTTAAGTCACATTGAGTGAAGGTATTGGAGGCTTACTGCAAGGACAAGGTGGCTTTTGGCAGTGCAGGGACTATGACTGGTTCACAGCTAACCTATCCACACACAAAAAGATGATTGTGTGAAATATGGATGGGTTCTGCAGACACTCAGGTTGTGTCTTGTAAATATCTACAGCACCGATACAGTCCTAACATGCATCTTATTTTAATCCTGGTACACTTAGTCAAATATGTGACATCACTCTGTGCCTTCTGGGACACATTCAGTCAACCTAATTTCTATATTAGTCTTCATTTCTTTTCACACAGCCTACATGAGGGTCCTCGGTATGAGTGTGTAACACATGCTTATAAACCTCTGGTTTTCTGGAGAGTGCACAACCGGAAAACAATTCTTCAGTGTTAAAAATGTATTTATTTATTCAGTTATTGTCTAAGCTGAATAGTTTTTTAGGGTTCTTGAGGGTTCGAGCTATTTTTTTTTAAAACCAAACCTCTGAAAAAGGGAATTTGACTCACATGAGCTCATGGCAAGCTCATAAGACATTAAAACCGTGTCAATGAAACAATCACAAGGTATCCACACCCTAGAAGATACCCAACTTTATCTTCTGTTCTTCTCTAAATGGGACTGTAATTTCCAGAAAAATAAATATTGTTTTTCTATTATTGTTAAACTGGTTGTTAAACTAGAGAAGAGAGACCATAAACACATAATGAAAGCGTAACTTAAGTTGCAATTCAAGAGAAGCTGTAAAAAAAATACATTTGTTCAACCATATTTGAAGAAATCAAGTTATGTTATCCATCTATAAACATGAAAAAGATGTTGTAGCACAATAAGCAATAACTGGTGAAAGTCTGACCTGTGCTTGGGCAGAGGTATCATTGAGAGCTTTCCTGAGGCCTTGACTTAGTCCCCTTCGCAGGTTTTGCCTCTGAATGCTGTCTAGCCTGTTTCTCCTCACATAGATGGAAACAACTAAGAGACAGACAAAAAGGACAAGTCAGGACAGGCAACAGACAAAACAAGTCAGAGCAATAAATTTAAAAAAACATATCGTTATATTATTTTTCTCTAGGACTTCCCCAAAAAGTACTGTTTACCTGTTTTCACCCACATTCTCTCAGTGATGTTGCACTGCTGTGGTGGAGTCTCTGTGGTAGTGGTGAAAGGTGAGATGAAGACAGCCGTGACCCCCCTGGGAGGGCTCGTTCTTAGGACAGGCGGTGTGAATGTTCTCCTGTTGGACTGAGTCCTGACGGTTGTGGTTTTCCCGGTCGCGAACGTGGTCTGTGGTGTGGTAGTGGTGGTTGACTGCGTAGTGACTCTTAGGGAAGGCGTGGTGGAGTTTTTAGTTTTTGTGGTTGAAGCTGTAGTGGTGGAAAGCTTAACAGAGGCTGTCGTGGTGTCTTGTCGAGGGGTCAGAGGTGATACCTGAGTTGTCCTCTCGGTAGGCCCAGCAGAATGGGTAATTCTGACTGATTGAGAGGGGCTTAAACTAGCCTCTATTTCTTTGGGGAAAGTGAGTCCAAGTGTTTTGGAAGTTCCAGCGGTTAATTCATCCGTCTCTGCTTCTGTAAGAACAAATGTCTCAGTCACTACCGGTGAGCGATTAGAATCTAATAATGAGATCAAACTTGGTGATGATGATGGAAATGAGGATTGCTCAACATTTAGAGAGACGGCTAACGATGCAGTGCCTTGATCCATGGTTGCTTTTCTTGTGGTGGGTCTTATGTATGAGGATGAAGATGGCGATGAAAATGATGATGATGATGATGATGATGATGATGATGATGATGATGATGATGATGATGATGATGATGATGACGATGACGATGATGATGATGATGGGTAAGAAGGGAAGGATGAAATCAGGTCAGCTGGGAAGGTTGATGCCTTCAGGATGGAATCAGTTGTCTTACTCTTGCTGTCAGTATCAGAGATACTATGCACAGGGCTATTTGAAAGTGTGACAGCAGAATCAAATGCAGATTCAAGAGAGGGAACAGCTGTCAGCGAGGGGCTGTTCCTGGTCTTATATATCAATTCAACATGAGCAGCTTGGGAAAATGCTGCAGAATCAGTAGTTATATGAGACAGGGGCAAAAAAACATCTTGCTGTACATTAAAAGCCACAGATGACCTAAAATTAGCTGGGGACAAGCTCCATTCCTTATAGTCGGAAGTTGCAAAAGATGGATAGTCACCAGTTGGATGAGCTGGATATGGATCACTGGCAACAGCTGTTGAATCAGCAGAATTCAGCATGTACGCATTACGCTCTTGTCCATCTTCCAGCTTTGGATTTTGAAATGAGGGACCAACTGTTGGTAAATTAGATTTTACCCTATCAAAGGTTATAGATGTGCTTTCTAATTTAAAGCCACTGCTTTCAAGAGCCATGGGCTTGGTGGTTTTCCAGTCTGTATATGGTGCCATTAGTTTTGTGCCCAAGCTGAAAATAGCACTCCATGTCTCCATGCTGTTTTGTCCATCACTGGAGGAAGTAGTTACAGCAGGGGAAACATCGGAGGGCATGTTCGTTTCTCTGTCCAGGTGAAAATTAGATTTATTGCTATTCACACTAGTGATTGGTCCCTGAGAGTGAGAAAAAGAGTTTGTTGTTTGTGTTAAGGTCATTTCGGACGGTTCATTATGACCCACCAATGTCACATTGTCTCTGTGAAAAACTCTCATAAGAGGTTCAGCTGTTACTGGTAAAAAGGGGATTTCAGTAGAGATTTTTCCAGAACCTGCAGACCCTTTAGTCAGCATGAAAAAATCTGTTTTAGTCCCGAGAGATGGGAAGCGTGTTGCGAACACTGATGGAGTTTCTTTCTTGTAAAACACAGCATCACTGATCAGAGAAGATTCATTGTTTCCATTGAATACAGGAGAACCTTGCAATACTTTACTATTTTCTGCTCTTGTGTGGATCTCAGTCATGCCCTCTGATTTTATATGAGCAGAGGTTTCATCAGAGGACACCACTGTCTCTTCAGATTTTTTAGAAGTTAAACTAAGTGTATACAATTTATGGGAAAAATCAGGCAAAGGCCTTGTTTGAAGAGGTCTTTCTGAGGGAATTATTTGCGGTGATGAAACAGATTTGGGTTGGTTTGCAAAATATATCGCACTTCTGGAAGATAGCTCATCTATATTATTATAGTTCGGGTTGTACGTAGGCTGATTGAGGTGTGACTGGCTTCTGGTTTTATAAATTATGTCATTTGCAGATCCTGAAAGAGATTCTATCTTATTGCTAGAAAATAAAGTTTTTGAGGTTGTGTAATCTATGTACAAGTGAGTTATGCCCTTGGAAGACCCAGTTACAGATTCCTGAATATTTCTGGGTCTCAAATTGAACAAATCTGACTCCAGTGCAGACGATGTTGTTCCTGTTCTGGTGCTCAAACTGGGGATAGAACGAATAGTGGAATCAGGTTTCAGCTGTGTGAGTGAAAGTGAGTTATTCAGGTGAGCATGAGTGGAAACAGATCTGAGCTCTGCTGCCGTTATCTCTCCCTGGTTGTAAATTACATCAGTGGCAGGGACTCTGGGACTGCTGTGACCCGCTGCGATCAGTAAATCACCAGGATTAGATACATGCTCTGAGGACATCATGCCAGAGTGGCTACCTGTTAGCTTGGTGATTGCAGCTTCAGAGAGCATCACTTTACCTGGTGGAGTCTCCAAGGAAACTGTAAAAAATGATTCACCTGGTGTGATCGCCATTACTGGTGACACAGTGGGAGTCCCAACATGCGAGCTGAGTGATGACATGACGGCATGACCTTCGTGAATAAAAGTGTGACTTTCTCCTGCTGTCTTAACTTCCTCTTCCATGTATGCCGTTTGGTTTAGAAGCCACTGTGTGATATGACTAGAAATTGAGTAGCCTTTAGGATGGGCAGACAGCAGTGCTGATGTGGGATTTTGTGAAGCTCCCTGCTGCCTTTGAACAGCTTGACTCTCCAGTTTAGAGGGAAATGAGGCGTTCATTTCAAGATTATTGGCGGGTACAAAGTTCATACCTGGATTTTGCGTTTGAGTAGGTCTGTACAAAATTTTTAAAAGATTTTGACTATAGTTAGGAGTAGAGTATAGTGTATATGTGCTGGTTGCTGGTGTCTGGATTTCTTTGGGTGTTGCAATTCTAGTGTATAATTCACTCACTGGGTAGATTCTGTCCACTGATGAATGTGTTGTTACTTTATTGCCTTTATCAATGCTGGTTTCACTTGAAGAGTGTGGCCGTTTGCTTGTTTTGCTTTGTCTCTCCTGTCTTACAGATTGCAGGTCAGCAAGTGACTGAGTGGTGGACTGCGGGAATGTTAAACTGTCTGACCAACCCTGAGACCTTGCTGATAACGCTGCTGTTTCTGTCTGAAGGGCTTTGTCTATCCACTCAGTGGAAGGTGACAGGAGAAATGAAGGCACGGGGGATGAAAGCACAGACAGTGTGGATGGAGATGGAGAAGACATTATTGGTGTCAACTCTGTTGATGATGGAAACAATGATACAATGTTGTTTCCGTTTGTGAAGGATACATGTGACAGCCTGGATACAGTGTAACCAGCAGTCTGAGGCGGTGTTGTGTGTTTTTGAGACATGCTAAAAGTCAAACCTGAGCTGGCTCCCACATGTGACGATGAGGAGGACATGTCTGAGCCCTGGCTGGAATTACGTGAAGGCCATTGGGTGGTATGGATCTCATCCCTGGTGATAGTTGGCAAGGTTCTACTTTGATCAAGGCTCACTGGATGTTTGACAGTTCCTGCCATCATGGTTAAGACAGAAGAAAAAGCAGGCTGCCCCGATAAGCCCTCCGCATCAGTGTCTGAGTGACTGTCTGAATGGACAACTGGGAAAGGCACCTCCTCAGCCACTGACAGGTCAGCCGATGGGTGAGCAGGAACGCCTGTGACTGCTGGGTCGCTCGGTAAAGGTGAGGAGCCTGAGGCATCGTAGGTGGATTTTTCTGTTATGAGGGCATAAGAGGGAAAGATGGTTCAGTAAGTTACAAACAAAACAGATTCTTGTTCTGCATACTCATGCACATCAGTAAATCAGCAACAAACAAATACACTGAGATTTCTACCGCAGTCATGGAGTTATGAATTCATCAAAGCTAACTTCTTAGAAGCCTTCAAGTTTGCAGTTAAAATGTTAATAAATCATTAATGAATTGATGTTGGACCAGATGCTCTCCTGTTCTTTCTGCTGTCCAACAGTCAGTTGGAGATTAATTAGTGAGCTATCGAAAAACATAAAGCAGGACAAGGTTAAAGGTAAAAGCAGTGGCACGGAATAACACATTTCTGAATTTTTAAGCCCTAGAACCTGTATGAAATGCCATGCTGATGCCCTGTCCTATTAAATGACAGTGTGAAAAATCAGACTGCCACTGCATTGTGCGTACTCATTCAGCCTGCATGTCAGCACAGTATTACTTTTCTGTAAACAAGACCGATGAGGCCATTACATAGAGACTGGTATGTCTCACTGTCACACAGGATCAAACAAAGCACATGTGCAAATGGATGTTGCTGTCAGGGGTAATTGTGATATTTTGGATAAGCTATCATTTAAAAAAAAAAGAAAAGAAATAATACTTTCAGTGTACAATCTCTTAAGATTGTGAGAATTATCACAAATACTACTTAGTTAGAGGAATTATAATGATAGGTTTCTAATAGTCTCAGACAATATACCAAGGGCAAACATGTATTCCCAAAATAGAGGAAAAGGCACAGTCTTCAAAGTGGAACAAATTGAATTACTCAAGAGATAGCAACCATGTTCTAAAGTACAGCAAAGATTATGGCACGCCTAAAAAACCACTTTGGACTTATTGTTACTGTGTTTTGTGCCTTTGCAGAAATTACATCTCAGTAAAAGAAAGAGAGAGGCAGCTGGAGAATATTAGCTATCATCAAGATGCTGGAGGTCATTAATGTGCTGAAGCTGAGCTGTTTCTCATCCATTCCTGTCCCTACCACTTCTTTTATTCACGGCACATCGTCAACACATCCATACAGGGATTATTTTATCCATTTATGAAGCTTAGCATTCCTGTCACATCTTCCACCCCCTCAACATGCTTCCCTTGCTAAAGTTCATCTAACTAGCAAACCCCTTAGTGTCTGAGAAACATGGACAGAAGACGGAGTTCTGGGGACTGTTTTGACATACCCGAGTACTCAGAAAAGCAAATAAGATACTCAAATAGCGTCAATGTTATTTTGCCAGATCTATTTTTCAATTTCATTTCTTTTAATAAATACATACTTGAGGATAGAATAAAATATAAGATAAGTGTCCAGCACATTCTGTGAGGCCTTTGAGTCTATTTCTTTTTTTTGTACAACACATAACGATTAGCCTAAGGCGGTGTGTACTAACACAGCTGGGACTGAAAACACTTTTTTTCTATCAGTAGAATTACAGAATACTAAATGAGAACTGTAATAGAATTTAATACCCGTGCATTTAGCAAAAGTTCCAGGTTTATAACTGTGAATGTAGCCTTAAATGTCACCAATATCCCAGAGAACTGGCATAATACTTTTTATAATTTGTTTTCAGAGAAGTAAATCACAGAATTGTATTATCTGCCAGTATTAGTTCCTTAAACACAGCCCCCTCATCCTGTATTTGTGATCCCACTTAATTCCTTTTCTCCAATAAATCTGTAACATGGTAAAATGTGATTAGTGAAACTGCTATACAGCAATTTTTAATCCATTCTTGAAATCCAGTGATACAAAAGAGTGGAAATAAGGTAATTGCTTTCATCTATTCACAAAGGAGTTTAACAAAATAAAGGATATCTGTCCTTCCTTAAGGCTACTAAAAGGTCAGAGATACTACCTTCCATTCTTCCATCCTATCCTCTACCCCCCCATCCCCAATCCCACAGTTAGCAAGCCAACTTCTTTTGGTTCATGGGATGGATGCCAGTCCAAGTGAAGGTGTAAGTTCCACCTGTGGTTTGCCACCTGCTCCGATGGAGCTGAGCATATGGAAGGATTTTTAACAATGGACCACAGAGGACAATACTTGCAGATAAAAGCTGAGAGGAAATGTGAAAGTATAATAAAAAGGATGGGCTATGAAAGTGTATATAGCAGTGGGAGAAGAAGAAAATGATGACATTTTAGGTCATTTGGAAGAAAAACTGTAACTGCCTTTAAGTCTACAGACTGTTCACACCATCAGGCATCTGTCTCAAAAAACAGAAAATATCAATCAATCAGTGTAAAAAATGAAGATTTGCATCTCGACCAAAACTAGAACAATTCAAATGGGTTATAAATGCAAAGCGGGTGTTTGATTGTTTAGGTTACTTAAGTAAAATGACACTGTATCGACAAAACAGGTTATGATTTTAACATTGTTGCAATTGAAAGACTAAAAATGATCCAGTTAAGATTAAAAAAAAGATGGAATGTGAACGTGTAAAAGACATCAATCATTAATTACATTTTGCAACAACTTCTTATTTTGGATGTCAGTCTGAAAGACACCAAGTACAGGTTTTGGAAATGTGTATAAGAATATACGCCACACACCTGCGATGATACCATGTGAATGGTGCAGCCATAAAAACACTGTGTTGGGTTTACTTATTTAGCTCAGCATCATGTAGTTTAAACAAAGAGCTGGAATTTGTTGAAATACACAGTATATGATTTGTGCAAGGGAATTATTAGGCAGTATAGAGTCAGTTTCTAAAAACATGAACTAATCATGGTTTAGTAACAACATTAGAGCCTTCTGCAAGAAGTCAAAACTACAGACATGTGTGATAAATAAAATGTTTAACTATTAGTCAAAAGACAGCTAAACATACCTGACTTAGCTCTTAAACCTTTGACAAGCCGCACGTTCAAACCACAGACATCAAATCCAGACTGAATTCTTTTCCTCTCTTCAGCCAACACTATCTTTGAGCTACCAGGACATAGACATGACACTGCTGGGCTCCTGGTGTTGCACTCATATTATACATTGCTTCCCCTTTTGCTTTAAGCTGTTTTTGTTCTCTTATGTGTAGAAAATGGTAAACAAGTGAGTGTAATTCAATAGTGAACTGGATGGAGGCCTGGGAGCATAGAAACCAATTTGAGAAGCCTGGCCAACTCCTGCCGAGGAAGTGCCTCTTACATTTTTGGCTGTCTATGACAGGAAACAGCATATAGAACTGCTCTGAGCTGTTGTTCTTTTTAAATTATAAAAAATGTATCTATTTCACATACTGTCGCTGTTTTTCTCTCTGTGGAGGTATCATGCTTGTGCAGGGCTGGAAGACGAGTAGAAGGAGCATTTGGCAGTGATGCCAAGCACTGCTGTGGTGGCAGTGTGGATGCGAGGGAGAATGTCACACACCCAGCTCTGTCTTTTTTTTTTTTTCATGGGGTGCAAACAGCGCAGCAGGATGATACATGCCTCATCTGTCTGGAACAGAACCCAGTGGACACTTAACTCTGCAGCCATGCAGAGATGCGTACAGTGTACTAAAAGAGATGTTCGTTCACTCAGTCATGAACTCGAACAAAGTCTTTATCGTTTGCTTTTGGTTCTTTTTTACTCTTTGTTGGTTTGGTCATTTAAAAATAGTTCAGGATAGACCCAAGCACCAAGAGTTGGTTTGTGTTGTGAATTTTGATTTAAATTATGTACCTTATTTAAACAATAACAAACATATTCTTCTATTTACTAGGGTAAAACAATACTTTTTTATACTAAAATTGTGAAAATGCAGTGGATTCTTTTTTGCATGAGAAAGGTTGGTCAGAAAAAATTGATACTTGGATACTCATTAATGCAAAAAATTGTTATCATATTATATATTAATTAGACATGCATTTGCATAGGAGCTCATTTCCAGTGCTGAGAAAAATGTTTGACATGCGTAAGTCAAAGTTTTGGATTATTATGTTGAAATTTCAGGTTATTGTCTCAAAATTTTGAGTTCGATATCTCAAAATTTTGACTTACTAACTTAATTAGGGTTAGGGTTTGACACTTACTAATTCAAAATGCTGAAAAAATAACCCAAAGTCAACAACAACAAAAAACCCTTGAAAACTGAATTAAGTTGACATTTTTAGATAACCAGATTTTAAACTACCGATGGTTAAAAAAAGGTTTTTAGTGGCAGAAACAAGCTTCTATAAATTTACAACATTCATGCCCTGATGAACCCATCAAAGAGCGACTAGTCGTTCAATATCTTGCCCAAAGACTGGAGCAGTCAGGGCTCAAACCACCAACCTTGCCATTAGCAGGTGACCTGCCCTACTTCCTGAGCTACAGCCACCCAGTTTTGTACATGCTGATTTTGTAGCCTTTTTGCCACATACCACACATAAAAAAACAGATATAGCCACTGTCACCAACTGGGCCGCAGAATCTTGCTGTGAAGTCTCAATTTGAGCATCTCGGTTTGTAGAAACTAGGCATCATATGTGTGACTGACACTGCATGATCATTTGGTAGCTATTTGTCATTCACCAGGCAGGTAGCCATCCATTTAACACTAAATGTGACCACAGTTTACTAAATAAGTTACAGTCAAGTGTTAGGTATGATTTAAACTCCATAATGGAGACCATTAATTATTTTTTAAAAAGTATTCTACTACTTTGTTTAGCAACCAAAGAAGTCACCACCTGACTGACACCACCAGTTGAAAGGAATCTATTTTTAAGTGCAATAGTAATGTTCACTTAGTGCATCCATCCACCTATAGTGCTTTTTGCACTTTTTTAATAATGTTTTTGCATAAATCTTATTTGTTTAGAAAAAATCCACTGGCCCAATCACTGTCCCTTTTTTCCACTGATGAAGTCCTCAGAGGAGAAAAACTATCTCCTGACAATGCCCTGACTCAGGAGAAGCTGAGCTCTCTCTAGCCACCTATTTTTTTTTTTCTATTTCCTCTCTTCTCCTTCTCTTCACTTCCTCTCTCTGTCC